CTGTCTGGAGGCAGGAAAGCTCTTGCACGGAGGGAGTCTATTTCCATGCCTATGAACTTGGCTGTCTGCTTTGGAATCAAGTGCGACTTCTCGAGGTTCATCTTGAGGCCGAGACTGTGCAGCGTAGGGAGCGTTGTGTCTCATGCTTTTATGGTGTCGTGGTACGATGTCCCCACTATCAACCAGTCGTCGATGTAGGGATAAATGTTTACTCCCTGTAGCTGGAGGAAGGCAGCCACCGGTGCCATGCACTTGGTGAAAGTCCGGGGGGCGGTGGAGAGCCCGAACGGGAGGGCACAGAATTGGAAAGCGGTGCCTTTGAAATGAAACCGGAGGAATTTCTGATGGTCTGGATGAATGGATATGTGGAAACAGGCATCCTGCAGGTCGATAATTATGAACCAGTCTCCCTGCGAAAGCAAAGGGATAATAGAGTCCAGTGTAAGCATGCGGAACTTGCGGGGAGATATGAAACGGTTGAGGTGAGTGAGATCAAGAATGGGGCGGAGGCCTCCATCTTTTTTAGGAATGGTAAAGTATTTTGTCAGGGCAATAAAGAAAACGTTATTGCATTGTGTACAAGCAGATTTTGTTTTGTAATCCATGTGAATTGTGCAAACATACCACTGTGTAGTTTTGCTTACATATTCTTGGATACATAGATTTAGGAGGAAATGGGAAAAATGAATTAGAAATAATTTTAACCTCCTGACTCAGCAAAAGGTGAATGTCAAACCAATTTACTTCCTGAGCAGTCTGTAATAATTAGAAATGTGCTGTAGTCACAGACTGTCCTTGGTTTTTTCACAATTAATTCCAAGGCTGGAAATTAGTCAATATGGGCAAATTGTCAACAAATAGGCTTCCTAAGACATTTGGACAGAAAACCTTGTCAAGCATTTTCCTAGAGTTTCCATCAGAATTCATAAATCTTTGCACTCACTGAAGGCTTTGTGATAGCCACTTCCCTGTACCTTAACTTAATTTCTTGACCACCTCCCTTGGAGATAACAACCCATATAGAGCTCACAGATTTGTGTTTACAAGACAAACTGGTCCCCCCCCCC